GTTGCGATTCAAAGAGAATCTAATGGCAAACAGAACAACAACGTCAACATAGTATCCAGCGAATCTAACAGTTTTCAAAGGTGAAAACTATCAACGGTGGGTTGCGCATATGGCGGTTTTTTCTAGATTTCAAGATGTTGGAATCTTGAATGATGGAGTATCAGAACTGGAAGCAAATGCGACGAAATCTCATAAAACTGCGCACAAAGATTAGAGGAAGAAAGATGGTAAAGCACTGTTCTTGATTCACCAATGTGTAGATTCTGATGTATTTGAGAAGATAATTGAAGAAGAAACGGCGAGATGAGAAATATTGAAGAAGGTGAAGTTGTATACGCTAACGAAGCAATTCGAGATGCTTCATATGAAAGAAGATGAATCAATTTCTGTATATTTCTCAAGAATTGTGACGCTAACAAACCAGATGAAGGCATGTGGTGAATCAGTTACGGATCTGCAGAAGATAGAAAAGGTGTTGAGATACATAAAGGGAATAATTGATCATGGTGCGTTGTTACCAAAGAAGTTGAAGAATAGCACATATGTCGAAGTTCATGGATACACTGACTCAAATTTCAGTGAAGATCAAGACGAAAAGAAAAGTATTGCATGCTACATTTTCATGATCGAAGGTACTCCAATCTCTTAGATTTCGAGGAAGCAAAGCATTATGGCTTTGTCATCATGCGAGGAAAAATATGAGGTTGCATCATATGCTGCATGCCAAACAACATGGATTGAAATGTTACTTGAAGAACTAAGGATAATGGAATCTAAGAAGATGAAGTTGTTTGTCGACAACAAGTCAGCTATTAACCTGGCGAATCACCCAGTGTGTCATGGTCGAAATAAGCACATAGAAAGAAAGTATGATTTTATGAGGGATCAAGTCAACAAAGGAAAGCTGGAGATAAAGCATTGCAAGACAGAAGTGCAATTAGCTGACATATTTACCAAACCTCTTAAAAAAGTCAAATTCAACGAGTTAAAGAGAAGCATCAGGATGAGAAGTCTCGTGAACATGAATTAGGAGTGTGTTAGAAGTATAATTCTTGTTCTGTCAAAATGCATGTGTGGTGTATGTCGAATAGCTTATTGTATAGGTTATAAGTTGTATTTGATAGAGTCGAATACAACAGATATTGTAGTATGTCGGAATCATGTTTTAGGCTTTATCGTGTTTTGTCTAATTATACTTGGGCATTGTTTGCTTATATAAAGGGCTGCTGAGTTTGTAATCAAGTGTGTATTCAATAACAGATTTTACAATTCAGTTAAAATCATAATAAATTTTCAATTCTCTCTCTTCTTCTTCTTCTTCTTCTTCTTCTTCTCTTTCATAAATCATCTTTCTTAAAAACCCTTTGTTTCAACAATGAGCAACAGAGTGAAAAGAAGCAAATTATGTTGATGTCAGGCAACATACATCAAATTTTCTGTATCGGACGCATGATCCTCCACATAGATGTAGTGAGGAGGAATGTTAGGGTTCACAAGGTGGCGATGAAGTTTGTGAATTCAAATAATACCTTCGACGTCTTCTTTCCATGAGAGGAAGTTTGAATTGTCCAATTTGATGATAATTTGTTGCGCGGAGGTTTTGAATGTGTTTTCAACGAAGACCTATCATCGATCCTCGAAGAACTCACATTTTATGAGGATGACGAGTTATTAGTTTCAGCAAGATCTATGACTGAAAGAGATCTCAAACTCTAGATACCATATTAGAAATTCAGAGAAGTGTCCATTTTCTATTTTGATTTTGATTAAATTTCAAAAATTAGTTACACAAGATAAACCTGATGTTATTTATAGGAGACTGAATGTAGTGAGTTACAATAACTCAATAAATAGCTCACCAATAATTATTTATTATGTTTAAACTAACTACATTCTAATTTCTATTCTTTTATACATTTATTCTCTAATATATTTGTGTTGATATACAGATTTTTGTTATTAAATTAATTTAAGAAAATTTATTAAAAAATTATTAATAAATTAATTTGGAGTAACAAAATTTATAGTATTTTCAAATTGACTTAATATTTATTTTGTTTTGTAGGTTAATCTCAAGATTTATTTTGATTTTTTAACTTAAAAATTTTTTATGTTTGTGTCTTAACTCTTCAGTCTTCAAAACATACTATGTTAATCAATTTTGTTTATGATGAAGTTTATGAACTCAAATAATACCTTCAATTTGTTGTTTTCATGGGAAGAAGTTTGAATTGTCTAATTTGATGATAATGTGTTGCACGGAGATTTTGGATGCGTTTTTCAGCAAAGAACTCACATTTTGTGAGGGTGATAAGCTGTTCGTTTCAGCGGAATCCATGGTTGAGAGAGATCTGAGGCTCTAGATACCATAGGAATTCAGAGTGGTGTCCATTTTCTATTTTGATTTTGATTGAACTTCAAAAGTTAGTTACACAAGATAACACTGTTGCTGTTTATAGTAGACTGAGTGTAGTGAGTTACGACAACTCAAGAGAGAGCTCACCAATAGTTATTTATTTTTAAAAAAAAACTAACTACATTCTAATTTCTATACATTTTTGTTGATATACAGGTTTTTGTTATTAAATTAATTTAAGAAAATTTATTAAATAAATATTAATAAAATCGTTTGGAATAATAAAATTTATAGTATTATTAAATTGCTTAATATTCTTTTTTGTTTAGTAAGTTAAGCTCAAGATTTATTTTGGTTTTTTAATTTAAAAAATGAGAATATTTTTCTCCATATATATATACTGAGTTAAACTTTTAAAATTTTAAAAATATTTTTTGAATGTGTATATTTGAACGCATCTTTCAGCATGTTTCGGATATGAATATCTGAAATCACTATTTTTCCTCGTTTTAATACTTAAACGTTGGATTTAAAATTTTAGATGTAATTTCGGATATACATATCTGAAACTATCATTGTCATTATAAATTACTGCATGGTCACCCTTCATTCATTTTCTCCCTTAGCAAAACTTCAACTATTTTCAATGAACTTTTTTGTCTCCAAACCAAGTTTCAAGTGTTTAAGCATAGCAAAGAGAGCATAAAAAGCTACAATTTGAGGTAAAGTTTTCTCATTTCATCTTATATTCCTTGTATTGATGTTGTTTGTGGATGAAAAAACAGTGTCACTTCGGATATGCATATCTGAATTCCACTACCATAATTCGGATGTGCATATTCGAAAACATGTCTGTTACAGAAACAGAATATTGTTTTAACAGAATTTATATTTTTTTGTCCGTGTTAGGTATGGTGCACCCCGACAATATTCTCAAAGTTATCGTAAAGGTTTCGGACAAGGTCAATGAAGATGCTAAGTCGAATGAGGTGAAGGACGTTGATAAAATGATTGATGTCGTGATAGATGTTGGACAACAATTTATAAATGATAAAAGTTTCACCTCTCGTCAAGATATGCTTGAATGGGTTTGAATGGAAGCTAGCATATTTAGGTTTGGCATTGTGATTGAAATGTCTGACAATGGCACTAGTAGAAGGCAAGCATTTGTTGTGATGACATGTGAGACAAGTGGGAAATATGTTTCAAAAATTCGAAAGTTAAAACATGATGACACGGGATCGAGAAAATATGAGTGTTTGTTTAAATTGCGCAGTTCTCGACTCAAACCCGCAGTTGGCACCAAAAATAAAAAAGGTGAAGATAGAAACATGATCAAATTTGGTGTTGTGGTGGAGAAGATAATGTGTGCATGGACTGATATTCTAAATTCTACTACAGAAGAGTTGTATACCGAGAATGTGGTACACTTCAGGATCTTGTGTGTCGAATATCTCAATTTCTTGAAATACGTTAAATCTACTAGCCCGATTTCTCGCAGGACACGCAGTTCGCCAAATTTATTACCATACTGAATTCTCTCTTGCAATATCCCGAGAATCAAAATGGGGTCAAGCTTGAGTATCGTTCACCTTCACTTGACACTGAAGGAAACGTAAAGTTCACCCCGTTTGAGCTTAAGAACGATGACGATTTAGAAGTTATGTGTGATACTTTTCAACGATACTCTTCTAAGGATTCGATTGAGATAGATGTGAAACTTTAAAAATCGAGAGAAGATGTTATCAAAATATTGTCACGTCCCCAACTACTTTTATATATATATATATATATATTATCAAAATATTGCCACGTCCCCAACTACTTTTATATATATATATATATATATATATATATATATATATATATATATATATATATATATATATATATATATATATATATATATATATATATATATATATATATATATATATATATATATATATATATATATATATATATATATATATATATATATATATATATATATATATATATATATATATATATATATATATTGTGAGTGATTAAATTAATTTGAAATAATCTACAATTTTTTTGTTATTAAATTAACTTGAGACAATCCACTATAAAATATTAACTTAGTTTGGAGCAATAAGATTTATAATATTATTAAATTAATTTGAGATAATTTACTTCAAAAATATTATTAAATTAGTTCAAAGCAATAAAATATATAGTATTATTAAATCAGTTTAATGTAGCATTAAGAGTAAAGGTTCAAAAAATACCCTCTAAAAATGCAACGTGCCACAAAAAAGGAGAGTTAAAAGGCTTGGTTAGTAAATTTGATGGTAGTTTGGTTTCTCAAGTTTATAGGAGGAGGAGGAGATAATCTGTCCATGGAACATATAGAATATAACTAAGCAAATTCAAGATTGTTCCAGAAGTTTAATCTTATTAGTAGAAACGAACATGAATTTAGCTTGTTGCCAAAGGAAACTTAGTCTCAGACTCTTAATACATGTTAAAAGTATTTTAGCCATATTTCCTTAAGCTTATAACAAGTAGGTAAACACGAACTACTAAAATGTAGCAATTGTCACCCATTACCAAAAAAATAAAGCTGTATAAACATTGTCTGTGTTTCTCTCATAAGAATCAGCAGACCAGGAAATCCTTATACAACAAATCGGTATGTAACATATCTTCCTGCAGTCTCACTAGGCCGGATAATCTTAACAACTTGTCCACGCTTCAGGCCATAATATCTTGCAACAGGATCTGTTACCTGGATTCTAGGTAGCTGAGAAGCAGAACATAGATATTAGATATAAGAACCGTGTCAGTATCAGCAAAAATTAGTGCAATGCTATAATTGTAAACACAGGATAGTATATTAAGAACACTACATCCAGTAGACAGAGAATGAAGAAGTAAACACTAAGTTGTTTGTTTCTACATGCTTAATTACATCCAAATCTAAATCATAAACTAAGTTGTACTTTATCATGGAACCAGAAAAGAAAGAAAGATGAATATCGGAGAAGATAAAGGCCTGTGTGCGAGTATACACATGAAGTATAAAAAAGGCATATCACCGTAGTCAAATCATATAATTTCAGAAAGAAGAGTATATTACTTTCCATACTGACATGTAGTGCTTCATTGGAATCTCATCTCATCTACATTACCATAACTACCAAGTACATGAGCAGTGAGATTATTTATGTGAAGACTTTTAAGGAGTGTTTGAGGTATGTCGGAGTGAAGAAAACAAATGTTTTTTGGAAACACATCGTATAGGTGCTGGTGTTCGACACTCTACACCCAGGAGTATTGATGATTCATAGTCATAGTTAGTACTATCTTTCCCTTATTGCAATTAATTGTTAAGATAGTATTAATGGTAATTTTCCGATCATTAATCATTTATCTTTTACAAAGAGTCCAAGAGACTTATGCTAGGGCTATAGACGCATTAAGATGCTTGGTTTTGTCATCCAAAAAATGGTAACCCTTATGATGTACTCCCTCCGGTCTCATTTATAAGAAAAAATTAACTTTTTAGATACATTAAATAAGTAATGTATTTGGACAATATATTGTCCAAATACATTACTTATTCAATGTATATAAAAAGTCAATTTTTTCTTATAAATGAGACCGGAGGGAGTAATTTACATTGTGTTATCCTAAGGGTGTCAACTGTATACCCTAGATTCGGGAATCACATCTTCCTTCTAATAACTATCAATTACATGAGCAATGAGACTATCTACACGAAGATTTCTGATTGTCCTAATTACTTAAGTGAGACAAGAGATAACTACCAAATAATATTACTTGTTATATTTTTGTCTTCGCAGTATGTTCTATACCTTAATCACAGATTAGTATGGTTCTAATTTTGTTTAAGAACTTCCAGGGCACCTTGAGCTCTATCCCTAATAGGGCTGGCACCTTCCTTTTGGTGTTTAGCTAATGGAATAGTCCCAACTAGTGGCTTTAACCGCAACGGACTTGATATGTTTTAATTTATACAAAAAATCATAGACCGTGAGTAAGGTACAGACGATGCAGTTATATTCGAAGTATTCTGACATTTAAGAATGTCAATATCCACTAATCTGAGAATAAATCTTCAAAAGCCTTATACAAATCACTACATTTTCTAGGATTATTATACACTGTATTCACTTTAGATCCCTCGTCATTTGTAGCTTGTACTACAAAAATCACTGCATTTTCTAAATCTACACACTATCATCTGATTTCCTCTCAAATCTTTACAGATGCCTACACAAATTTTAACCAAATCCAAATTTAATCACTCCTTTATTACAAAGTTCACATCATGGAGTTACCATCCATGAGCTAATTGGCAACAAAGCTTGAGGTGGAAGGGTACACCGCTCACAATCTATAACACTAAGCTCTAAACACTCACCCAGGTGAGACTATTTAACACCATCAAATAAGATCTACAAAAGGATGAACATAGGGGAAGAGGAAAACTGAGGGTGTCGATGTGCACCGAGTGGCCTCTTAAAGGAGAAAGGCAAGGAGATTAAACTAAGCTGATAAGCTGGGAGGGAATTAGGCAAAATTGCTTCAAGCTCACTGAGTTTTAAAATTAACAATGATTTCCCAAATCAACAAAAACACTAAAAGAAAGAAAACTATTTTACAGAATGATATCATCAGCTACTACTAAGCCATCATAAAGGAACCAAATTGAATAGCACCCAACCATCAACTACTAATTCTCGGAGCAAGCCACTAACAAAACCCTAATATTTTCCTTTTTTATTTTGTATTTCCTCCAATATTACAAAGCCATCACACACATTTATGCAATTAATCACCTACTAAAAACAAGACAAAATTTCCACCAAAAATAACTTAAAAGTGATACACTAACCTGAGTTTCTTTGACAGTGTATCTCTCAAGTAAGGTTTTCTTCTCTGGATCAGTAAGCACCTGATGTTCCGGCACAAGCACATGATCTTTTATATTCACAAGCAACTCCGCCTCCTGCAAACACACAAAAACACCAACAATCAGTTACCTCAACCGTTACAAAAAAATTAGGGTTTGAAAAGGGATAAATAGTTCATAACTACCTGAAAAACTTCCAAGTGAAATTTCGAAGCCATTTCAGAGACACAGGTTCGTGCAAACGGAGTAAGACTAGTCTGACAAACAAGGATCGCTCTGTAAACATTCTCTGAATTCATCCGATTGGTGTAAGTCTTCATGGTCTTGACGCCGACCTTAGCTTCCTCAGGGAAAAAGACGTAGATCTGATCGGACTGTTTATCTTTTTTGGCTTTGTTAATAACGAGATCTTCTCGCTTCATATTCTCGCCGTATTTGTTCTTGAAATCGCGTTTCGACATGTTAAGCTCGAAGTCTCCGACGAGGTAATTCCGATCTTTGAGCATTTGCATCACCGTTTTGCGGATTCTGTATAGCCTCGTTATCTCATCCTCATTAAGTACCATTGTGAAGCCGTTCTGAGAAAAACGGACGATGAATTTGTTGGTGGCGGATGCTACGGCGTTGCGGCAAGGGTTGTGTTTGGGTTTTGATCCGTTGTTTCGTAGAGAGATAGATGGTGAATCAGATTATGCTAATTTAATAGAATTTGGGAATAATTGTGTTAGGAAAATGCTTATTTGTGTTTCTTGTTCAAATTCCTCTGTATTAAATGGGTATTGTTCATTGTATTAATATATATAGCCCATATGGCAGAAAGAAAAAAAACCATAAAGTGGGTACCCGCAAATACATATTATGGATAAAATAAATAGACGTTTATTCATTCTACCCTTATATGTGGTTAATAATTATCAAAATTATTTGTTTGATTTAAAATTATTAATATTAATTAGTTTTTTTTTTTAATTGGAGGTATCAAACAAATGTTCAACAATTTTAATCTCTATGTAAAAACAACAAATATTAGAATATAGGAGTCTAAATCTTTGTGGTTTCTCTTTTATTGACAACTTGTCATGACAAGCCATCCAGAGGGTATGAATTGCTTTATTCCTAGTAATATTTTCATATATAACTTTCTTCCAAGAGACATCTTGGTGATCCTCTAGAAAAGCCTGATACATGGTTCTGGTGAAAAATTTACCTAGTGCAGCATCTTATTCTAATTTGGCATATTTAACACCTCATATCTCAGCTTCAATAGATATTTGATACACCGGGATGCTTATATTTTGATAGGCGTCTGCATAATATCACTATCTTTTAGATAATAAATATGCATCCAACGGATCCATAGGCTGACTTCTTTAGCATTCAAATTCCACATATACTTAACTAAACAGGTTTTACTCCAGACTTTCAGGGTGATAATATTGAGACATCTCTTAAGTTTAGGGGTACAAACTTTCTTCCAAGCGACAGGGGATTTACGGGTGATAGTCTTTGAACCTGACCAGAGGAAATTCCTACAGATATTCTCAATTCTTTTGAGAATCTCCTTTGGCATGGGCACACACTGGATCTAGAAATTGCTGATTACAAAGACCACACTTTGAATCAATTAAGTTTTACCTTTAAAACTTAATAGCCTTGAACTCCAATGTCTTATTCTCTGAACAATTTTATCCATAATCCCTAGGCAGTTGTTAGTAGACAACTTCTTGCTAGAAAGAGCAATGCCTAGATATTTGAAAAGTAATACTCCTTCCTTAAACTTGGTTATCCTCAAGATCTCATGCTTGATACTATCATCGACATTGCCAGAAAAAGTTTTTCACTTAAGAGGATTTACCTCCAGGATGTTAAATTGTAATTCAGTGTGTCAAAACTATGTGTTGAAAAGATTAGATTTGTTTAGATTTAAATAGATTTGATTTAAGTCTAGAATATATTTGATTTGATTTAGTAACAAAATAAATATTTTGGGCTTTGGGCTTAGAGTGTAAGCTCAGTTATAAATAGAGGGAGTAACCCCTATTTTTTGTAAGCAAGTCAAGCAAGTCATTTATAGTATTTTGCAGTTGCAAAGTGAATAATAAAGTTTTCACAGTTTGTGAGCAGAGAGAAACTCTGCAGAAATTATTTGTCTTGTCTTCTTTCTTTGTTTGTCTCATAATTAAATTGTCATTATGGTAGAAATTCATCATAGATTTTGGTGAGTTTCCAACATCTGGTATCAGAGCTTTTGTTTCGATTCAATGGAAGTATCAATCAAGAACGATTGAAGAATTCACGATGACAAGTTATGGGAATGCAAACTATCCAGCAACCCTACCAATTCTGAAAGTTGACAACTATGAGAATTGGTGCAAACAGATGAAAGTCTTATTCAGGTGTCAAGGTCTTTGGGATCTTGTAAAATATGGATTCGAAGCGCTTGGAGAAAACACTTCAGAAGAAGAAAAGAAGAAATACACAAAATATGAGAATCTGAGTTATAAAGCATTATTTATAATTCATCAATGTGTCATCCCAGACAATTTCGAAAAGGTTAGTGATTCATAATCTACAAAAGAAGCTTGGGAAATCCTTGAGAAGTCTTTTGGAGGCGCTGAGAAGGTGAAGGAAGTGAGGTTACAAACTCACAAAAGGATGTATGAACTGCTTTAGATGGAAGACAGTGAAAGCATATCTGATTTCTTCACTAGAGTTACAAAACTAGTAAATCAAATCAAGATATGTGGATGTTGTACCCCAAAATTTGCCCTCTCATGTTTTCCAAAAGTCTTCCCCCTGCATGGCTGATCACAAACCCTTGCCTAAGGTAAAAGGAAATTTTTGGGTGGTGCTTTAAGTACCTTTCGATTGGCATTCTGAAAGGCCCTTCGATTGGCATTCTGAAGGAGCATTTCGATTGGCATTATGTCAAGGCCTTCGATTGGCATTCTGAAAGACCCTTCGATTGGTATTCTGAAGGAGCATTTCGATTGGCATGGACTAGCACTTCGATTAGCATTGTGTCAAGGCAGCTTCGACAGACATGTGAACCATGTCCTTTGATTAGCATGAACAACACCTTTCGATTGGCCTGTTAACAAAGCCTTTCGATTGGGATCCTTCGATTGATATTCAGAAGGCCCATTCGAAAGATACATGGGAAGTCCATTCGAAGGAAGCAACTCAAGACCATTCGAAGAAGCATTCAGAAGGCTCATTCGAAAGGTACATGAGAAGTCCATTCGAAGGAGGCAACTCAAGGCCAATCGAAGAGCATGGCCTGAAGGCATTCGAAAATCAAAACATGTCCAGGTTCATTTCAGATTCCAAAGAGACATAAATATTTCAAAAAGGGAAATAATTTAATGTGTCCGTTTCTTGTCTCATGGCATTTAATGGCTTGTTTGATGGTTGTCTCTTGCTATTACTGCACCCTCACACCCCTATAAATACAGAGACTAGCATACATATCCAACACACAAAAAACTCTGCAGGAAAACAGAACACACGAAAAAACACACAACAAGAGAACAAAAAACATTGGAGTTACGCTGCCAAAAAGTCATCAGTATTTTCATAAGTAATCCAGGCCCAAAGCAACCCTTCAACAAAAGATCACAACGCCTATAAGCCCCAAATCAAAGGTGTCTACATCCAGGAAGTGTCCAAATCAAAAGTGCCTACATCCAGGAAGCGCCCAAATTAAAAGTCCAATCTGCTGGTGTGATACGGTGGGAGAACTGACTTGAGGTTTTGCGTTTGTTTTCGCAAATGTTTCGGTTGAGCAAGAGTCGCCACCGACTTTTTATTTTATCCTAAGGAAAGGTTAAAAAGCACAGCAAAAACCTTTGAGATGTTTTCTTGGGTTCGGGGAGTAGATTATAGAAAGGGAAGGTATTAGCACCCTTTCTATCCATGGTTATCCATGGGCTCTTAGTTACTTGCTTAGATCAACTTGCTTTGATTTTCAATTGTTTGAAATGGTGCTTTGTGTGTGTGTGTGGGTTTGAAAATGTTTTGAAAAGAGGCCAATGTGGTGGCAACCTTTGTAATGATCCATGTTGGGATGTATACAAAGGTGTACTATCTTTTGAAAAGTTTTCAATGTTTTTGAAAGTTGTTTTTGAAAGTGTGTTGTGATGTGTGATTTTGAAAAAAATAGGCAAGTGTTTTTGTTTTGCAAGTTGGCAAGTAACCAAGAGTTGTCTACTCCTAAATTACTCAAAGATCTTTGCTATGTTTTAACCCTTTTAACAATTTTGTTCCACCATTGTATTTGGTGGACAATCTTGTGTTTAGGATGTGAACGGGACGGGCGCGGGTCATCGTTTAGACCATGATTGCAATGGTGCCAAGTATCTTTGGGCAATTTTTCCTTTAAGGGACTTGATCATGTTTAGGCAACTTTCGAAAGCGTCATCGAGGGACTATGATCATTTGAATTGTTTTGTTTTTGCCAAAGACACCTAGCATGCAATATGGCCCATTATTGAAGGCAACAAGTGGAGTAACCCTAAGGGTGCAAGTGTGATTGGTGTTTATTCATTTTCATGCTTTTATCTTGGAATTAGGTCAAGCTATTTTTGGTTGATTTTTGCATACAAAACCCTAAGTCTATCATGGCATATTTAGAAAGCTTTTAAATGCGAAATTTAAAGGTCCTAAATTATTACAACACAAATTATGGGATGGGGGGTACAAATGTTCAAATGGGGATATTTAGCAAGAAAAATTAAATCTAAACTATTACGTCCAAATTGAATTATACAAATTATTTAATTGCACAATAATTAAATAAAATACAATAAATATGCAAGATGCAAAAAATGATTTTTTATATGTATACAAAAAGGTTTTTTATGTGACAAATAAACAAAAATAAAAAGGATTAATTTTTGGTATTTTTGATGTGTTAGGGCAAAACCCTAATTTGCTTATATAAAATGTATTAATTGTTTATATACAATACAATATTTATTAATTATGTACAAAAAATAAATAAAAAGGAAGTATATTGTAAAAAAAGTATTTTTTGAGGTCAAATATTAATAAAAGTAAAAATGTATTATTTTGTATTTTACCCTAAATATTCTAATAAATATAAGTATTTATAATATTTGCTAAATATATTAAATATGTACAAAAATAAAATATTTAATATTTACAAAAAAGTATATTTTTAAGAAAATGTTTTCAAAAGATAAAATAACATAAAATCAGAAAATAAAATGTATTGGTATTATTTCTAGTATTTTAAATAAAAGTATTATGTATTTATTTACATATATGTATAAACTCAAATAAAACAAACAAAATTCAAATAAAATGCAAAAATGGTTGAAAAAATGTTTTTAATATTTTTTATGTTTTGTCAAAAAATAACAAGTCAAAATAAAAAAGAAAAAGTCAAAAAATGATAAAAATAAACACAATGGGCCAAGGGGGTGTATGTGTGAAAATGTGGTGCAAAAAGAAAAATATTTCAGGCCCAGCCCAAGGATGATTGTCTTCAACCTTCAGACAAATTTCAAAACAAAAACGCGCGTTTTCTTCCTTCCCTGCTATC